TTACCACGCCTTCACCAAATTCACCAACACAGCAGACCAGACGATTGCCAGAAACCATGTTCCCTCAGCCTTCCAATCCTTATACCCATATCTCATCATTGAATACTATTACCTCTTTGGCCACCTTCATCGGCTTCCGAGGCCGCCCGTCTGCTGTTGGGGAAACTCATTGCGGCGTCTGTGAATTCCTTGATGCAGGGTCCTCTCAAAAGCGAGAGTGATAGAACTAAAAAAGGAGAAAAGCAGACTGAGATTCTCAGTTCTTAGAGAATCACTGCACCAATGAGCCGCAGTACCTTGAACCACATGTCTCGTCACCTCCCCCCCAAAGTGGATTTATGAACATCACCACGACAGAGTGAATCAAACAGCTGTTTACGGCCGAAACTCTATTACCATGTGACTGGAGACTGACTAGTGATCATTACAACAGTGGATAATCAACAAGCTCTTGGAACCTGGCATCGTGTAACATCCCCTCGTTACGACAGCCAGCCAGCGACTGCCCTTTGAGACATCCTGGAGGGCCAATGGCTTGTCCAGACTCAGCGACGCGTCCAGACAGCTGCAATGTGCCATAGAGATCAACTCATATGTCTGACGAAGTAGAAGACCTGCTGTTATCGTCATCAACTTCTGCGGAGCCAGAGTCGCTGGACAGCTCGAGATCGAACGAAGCTGGAGGCAGTTTGGATGCAGGTACGTACTTCCTATAGTCTCCATAGAGCTGCTCAACAGACTTGGCCGCAGCTGCCCACAAGCCCTTGATTTCCCCAGCCAGAGAGGCCCAAGTTGCCTCCAGCTCACAGAAGTCGAAGATTGCCAATGTGGAAGCGAAAACGCCAAATTCGCTCCAACCGATCAAAGGCAGATGGTCAAAGCGAGAGAAGTAGTCCTCTCTACTACCAGTAGGAGCACTGTACGTCATCCTCGGCGACAGATCAGTAAGGACCACCTGCATAACGTCGAGCCCTCTAAGAAGCTTGGGGAAACACACAAGCCTCGGGTACCTCGCCCCGACACCAGCAAGACGAGACAAGGGTAGTGGGAAGTACTTGAAGGCCATATAGCTCAACGATCCGTGATGACGTTCCAAGATGTCATCAACACTGACTTTCATACGGTGCGGCAAACGGCAGTGTGAGAGGTCCAATATGATCAACTGGTTGCTAGGTAACGCCGTGAAACACCGTAGCGTCTTGCTGCTGAGCTTACCGGCCAGGACGACCTTCTCAACCTTCGTACCAAGCTCAACAGTTATGTATGATGAACCAGTAGAAGCTAGATAGACCTCCTTGCAGCTCTCGCCAATGCTATTGATACATTCATCGATTTCCACAGAGTATTCCACCCAAATGCGTTCTAGACGGCCATGGAATTCCCCTAAGCTCCCCCTCAACTGTTCGGCTGCAGCAGCGCTTGAGATTTCGATACCAAGACCAGAGATGTGGGGTAGAAAAGGAAGGAGAGCCTCCACACTTCGAGGACTCTGTATGGGAACTCGGATGAACCTCACCGAATCTGGGCAGACCTCAGCCAAACGCTCGTTGATTTCCTCATCATCACCATCCAGTAAGAATATGTTCGGCAACCACAAGAGCGAACACACGTGGAGATGCTCAT